CACACACACACACACACACACACACACACACACACACACATAGGTGTTTAGATAGAAGGACGTAGCCATGCTACTTGTCCAGAATCCAGAGTGTGATTTGCTTCCTCGAGCTTGCCATGGGAAACCTAGTCCCTAACAAACCAGTGCAAGCTCGAGAGGCAGCAGTGTGGAATGCCTGCAAAGAACCTTCTCAGTGTTACACCAAGTGGGAATCCCAGAGCAAACCAAGAATGCTTTCTCAGCGGCTACAACAACTCAAACGAACATGCGCAAGCCGGATAATACCAAACCGGCAAATGAAAGGAGGAAAAACAGTCTACCAGTGTACACAAGCAACCAGAGTGTGCACATACTTGATATCCCTAAAGGAAAAGATGCCAGAATAACTTTCGTAGTGTTCATAGTAAGTTTCATACCCAAAACAGCATCCGCAGGTGGAAGAAGCGATGTGGCAGTTCCTGCAAGCATCAATGTGGAATGGTCTTTTTGAACGCGGAGGAAAGGCTCATTTGATGGCAGCAAAAACAGGACCTGCAAGTGCCACAGAAGGTAAAAGCTAGTAAGCAGCAGAGGAGACAGACAGACAGTAGCAAAAGAAAGACGCAGACATTTGCCGACAGATTCATAATTGGGGACAGGGGAAAGGGGGGGGAAGGAGGGAAAAGTAAATGCACAGCCTGTTCAGGTGTGCAAATCCCAAAAAAAACTAGACTGTCAGAGCCCACGGACTAACATCCCAAAAAAAGACTTAAACTTTTACAAAGCGTTTTATGTGAAGGAATAAACTTCAATCAAGCAAGAACCAGACAATGATAGTGCTAGAAGTTCCATATTATTTTTAACTTCATTTTTTTTTAATATGTATGTATTTGTGAGGAATCAGCCCTTGCAGTGGCCCTTAGGCCGCGGCACCCGACAGCCCAAGGGGCCCTGTCGCATACCGTAACGGTACAGACCAGAACACGAACCGACCTCTCTAACATAGTACAAGATAGCGCAGCGGAAGGCTAAAATACCAATGATCCGACCAATCAATGTCGCAATGCAGGCCCAACATACATCATCATCATCACCTGGCGTGAAGGGACCTGGCGCTCACACAGGAGGAATGCGCCAGACCCCAATCATACACAGATGAAGAGGAGGGGGATTAGACGAAGAAGAGGGGGAAGATGGGGAATGTCGTCAACACCAAGTCTTCGGTACAAGTCCCAAATAATCCCTCGTCCAATGTCTCAATCCCAATGTCGAGTCTGAACCCAAATGTCGTCAAGTCCCAAAGTCGCCAATCTCTCTCTCTCGTAGTCTGCAGATACTGAGAAGTCAGGTAGCGAGAGTGGGAGGGAGAGATGGTGGACTTAGAAGAGGAAGAAGAAGAACTCTCTCTCTCTCTCTCAGTCCGGTACTAACCTGTGAGGGTGGCGCCTGGTTGCAGGTGCATCGAAAACGAAGCTGGAGCTATGGCGCCACAGGTAAGTCTCCCTGGCCCCCGCCAACCCTCTCTCGCTCCCCAGCACTACTCTAACTCCTAATAGCGCCCAGTGCTGAAGGCTACTCCTAACGCTACTACTACTACTGCAGCGCTCCTCCAGAGTGCTGCTGCCGAATCCTGAAGACTGCCTCTTGCCTCCTGCACGTGAAGTGCCTGGGAAGTCCCTATCAACTACCTGCAGCCTGCAGGGCGGGCCAGTTCTATATCGTGCTGGCCCGTCCGGGAGGCTGCTCTTGCCAATGCCGAAACGTGCCAGACCCTGGCGTTGAAGTTCAAATAAAGGCTGTCTTGAAACAGGCCCAAAAATGGCCTGTGCTAAACCCTGGTCTGGCGCCTGAGTTTCAGGGCAGGTCGACTTTACGAGGGCCTGAAAATGGCCCTCGTTTTCAGGCTTTTAGGCTGAAACGACACAGGGCCTGGAGGGCCCTTATTTTCCGTCTGGTCAGGCCCTGCAGGCCCGTGTGGATGCGCAGTATGCCACAGTCCCCCAGCCTGCCTCGTGCCCGCCCTAAGTGAAGGCAGGTTGCATTTTGACACAAGGCCCTATTTTTGTCATTTCTGCATGTAGCGGCGCCAGACAGTTGTACAGCGCCAGTTGTTTAGAAGGGCATCGCCAGTGTGGGCACGACATCATGAGCCTCTCGGCTCTCCCCAGCAGCAACGTGGCCAGAGGATTTCGGCCAATGAAAACCCAGGCAGCGACGTGGATTGGGGCTCGTGAGCCAATGAAAATGCGGCTAGTGACAGCCGCCACACCGAACACTTGCGCAGCTTAACTGCTGCGGGCCCGGGCCACTGTCTGAATGGGCCTGGGCGCAGACACTTTGGCCCAACGTGAAGCTAATGGGGACGCCCCCACCAGGCCCAGGCCAGCCAGAGGCTGGGCTCACTTTCCATGTAGGAAAGTGTGCACCCAGCCAGAGGACATTCTGGCTGGACACAAGTGAGCGGCCACGCTGCTGCTTTGGGCGCTGATAGGCTGTCTGGGCGCTGGCCAGAATGCGCACACAGGTGCTAGAGGGAAGAGGGAAGCTGCGGTGGCAGCAGGCGCGCGGCAGCCATAGCCAGGCTGCATGGGCGCATGCTCGTATTGGGCGATGGTGGTCTTCCGGTGATGAGGAGAGAGAAAAGGGACACGTACCTGGTATATGCTGGCAGTCCGTATTGGCGGCAGCGTCGCTTACATTGGTATTCAGCTTGAAGTGACTCCTGTTTCAGATACATAGTGTAGGCTAGAGTAGGTACTGAGTTGGATAGGCTGGGCGCCGAGCGCCAGTTCAAGAAGGGCGACATTGGATACTATGTTGGTGATGGCGAGACAGGGCCAGCATTGACATTTGAGTTCATTGTCTTGCTCTTATTTGGCTTGTATCTCGGTGCATTGTGCTTCCTGCTTGGTACACGTCTATCTGGTCTTCAGCGTGATATTGCAATTTGGTTTTCTGTCTGTCGCTCTCGCTCATTTTCCTTGCATATTTATTTATTTAGTTAGTTAGTTAGTTAGTTAGTTAGTTAGTTAGTTAGTTAGTTAGCTAGTTTTGGGGTGACGTATAGAAATAGCCCCTGTGTGTTTGAAACTTGAAAGCACAAATTTTGACAGAAAAGAATGCATCGCGTGTGACCTCTGCGCATCTTTTAGGTGCAGATCATGCACTCGTGCAGCTGCACATGCAGGTGTTCTTTTTTTTACCTATTTTAACTCTTGCAAGGAATATGAGTGTGAACGATATACAGAAAACCAAGTTGTGAAATCACACAGATGTCCAAGTAGTCGTGTACAAGCAGAGAGCACAAATGCACCGAGACTCCATCCAAATAAAGCAATACAATGAAGTAATGAGCCAATGTTCAAGCCCTCTGCCCACACCAACACAGTATCCAAAGTCGCTCCTCTCTGTCTGGCACCCAACGCCCAGCCTACTCTACTCGACTATCCTACCTACAGTTGTGTCCACGCAACAGGCTCACTTCGACTCTCGAAGACCAATGTACATGACGTCAACCCCAGAGCCGACCTCTCTTGATGCATCAGGTATGTATCTCGTCACCCTCATCAGACCTTGATACCCCACTCTCGCCTCCTTCCTTGAAGACCACCAGATAGCCCTCTTACCCCCTGGCGCTCAGCAGCCCGGCTATGGCCGCCTGTGCCCCGCTGCCCTGCAGCGCCCCACCTCACCTCTTCGCGCCCTGCCAGCACTCTGGCCACAGCGCAGCATCTACAGCAGCAGCACAGCAGCGTTACCGCATTGCCTACGCTGGCCAGCATGCCTGGCCTGGGTTGCCTCAATTCCTATATGGAAGTAGCAGCCTCCTGGATGCTGCGTGTGGCCTGGCTGGAAGCTTGCAGTAGCTTCCGGTTGGGCCTCAGCCCCTGTGCCCAGGCCCGAGACTACAGTTGAGGGCCTGGGCCCTTTTCAGTTGGGCACGGCCTGAGTCTCCGGACTTGGGCCGTTTGCTGCATTTGTGCAGGGCCCCGGGGTAGGTGTGTCGACAGTACTGCTTTTGCATAGGCCGGTGGCTGCTTCACGATGTATCGGCCCTGATTTGTGTGTATGTGCCCAGGCGCAACTGCCAAGGCCTAGGCCAACTGTACGACGCAGCTTAGTGAGGCTCACACGTCCACTCAACCAACTGACGTGCTGGAAGAGCCTGAATACCCACATATGAAAGTGTCGAATTTTGGCCTCTGAAGAATATTCAGGCCCGCCTTCACTTAGGGCGGGCACTTGGCTTGCTGGGGGCCTTTGCCCAGAACATGTGATGTCTGATAGGGCCCCGTGAGGGATCGTTCCTCGCACTCTTAAGAAATTTGGACCACTTATCAATTTATGTGTGCTTGCACAGGGGCATACTAACCTTCTCTGTATCGTTCCAATTTCTGACGGATGTCCCGAAGGACCATGCAGGTGTATTCCAACGAGTCTAGGTTTTGCATTTTGCACACCTGAAAAGGCCGTGCATTTACTTTTCCTCGTTTCCCCCACCTCCCCTGGGCCCAATTATGAATCTATGTCTTCAGAACCAAGTGCCTAAGCTTCATATTGGCCAGACAAAAAGCAGCTCTTGAAAGTTGAAACACAGAGAGCTACCCCCTCCAGAGGAAATCAGCGAGCAACTATCATTGCATCAACGTCTGATTAGCAGCTCCACAAACACGGAAAACCACCTCGTCAAGAGGAAATCAGCAAGCAAGTCAAGCGACTATAATTTGGCTAACACCTCATGAGCCTGCAACCGTACAGCACAGATGAGTGACAAACATTGAAAAGATGCCACATCGTAGCAAAATTTGAAATTTCAACACGAATGGGTCATGTTTCCACAGTTACACTGTCAAATCGCCACCTTATTTATGGGGCATGTCTAGCTCCCCCGACAATGTGAAAACAACATGCCAGTCACGACAGCTTGGCTGTGAAAACTAAGAAAAAAGCAAAAAGATCACCATTCCCTCTGCACTCCTCCTCTGCCATTCCCTCGACTTCAGGCGCATACCTTGTAGAAATGCACAACAACTTTGGCTGCCCGTGCAGACTCGCTCGACACTCCATTCTGCTGAGTGCAGATTCCGCCACTGCCGCTGTTCCCCCCCACCATACCTGTCACACCATGAACAACCGGTACTGCAAAGACGTCGCCTTTTGCAACAAAGCGATCACCCGAAAAATACTTGCAGATAGATTCATCGATGTTCTTGCTGTATGGGTCACCTGGTGGCTCACGATTCCCACCACCCTGCGAGAATTGGCCGGCACTACCCTCGCTCTGTATCATCAGATTAAACAGGTCAAGATTGTCGACCAGCGACGGCTCCATCTTCGGCATTGGGATGGATGCCACACGGACCAGTGATGCATATGTCGGCAGCCTTCCAACACCGATACGTTCAGACGTTGCCGACCTACTGCGTTCCGCTAATGATTCCTGATGAGCCTTGCTTCCTCCTGCATGACCTGCTGCCAATCCAGCCTTAAGTTGGGTGCCGCGATAATAAGGAACAATGTCCACATAAAACAATGAAGCTGGCGTTTGTGCCGTCAACTGACTCCCGACCGTGAGTGCATCCTGACTGGCCTTCCCTCCATCTCTTTCTTCAAGCCCACTGGCTTGAAGCCTTCCAATACCTGCAACAGCTGGCAAGCTTGATGACATGGATGATGACGTGGACAAAGGTGCAGGCGGCGTTGACAAAGATTCCATAGACTCAGACTTTGATGATACGTGCAAAGGAACAGATGGGAGATCCACATGAGGCTGCAATTGGAGGTGAAGTTGTAGATTGAATGCCAACATGGGCGATAGATATGCCACGTCATCTGCTGGGGAAAACTGGACCCGGTCAGTGATCAACTTCGTCACCGTCTCAGAGACAGAAGTGCTGTTCTGGTGACCCCTGCGTGAAGATCTGCTGCTGTTATTTTCATCAGGTGAAACACCGAGCTGCCGGGTCACCATAGAAGAATCGAGTGCAGTTGCAATTGCCACCCTGGCGATCCCATTCGCAAGCGATTTCACAATCACCTGTCACAATGAGCAAGTAGAAGAAACACAAAGCTTATGGAGATCACAGAGTGATCTTAAACGCTCAATCAATTGAGGGACGCCAACCGTTGGCGTGACTACTCTGCACAGAGCTAGAAACCAGCGCCTTTTTATGAGAGACAGGGAGAATGCGGGAGACACATGGAATACGAACAGAGAGAAAGGAACTGCACCCTTATTTTCTGCTTTTCCTTCCCTTTTCCTTCTTTTTTCGTTCTTTCTTCTTATCACTTTTTACGTCTTTTTCACCTTTCTGAACAGGTGCAAGGCTGCCCACAGTCATGTAGTTGAGCAGGAAGTGTCACAATGGTCTTTTGGTGCAGTGGGCAGATTGTCAATCAACTGACCTACTGTATTTTTGCTTCCATATGAGTCTGCATTCTTGTCTATACGTTTGCATACTAGCTCAGCTGTACACTCTCTCTCTCTCTCTCTCTCTCTCTCTCTCTCTCTCTCTCTCTCTCTCTCTCTCTCTCTCTCTCTC